CAGGCCCAGGCCGCCCCACAGGCACCCGCAGGCCAGGAGCGAGTCTGGCTCCAAGCACTCGGCCGAGTGTGCCTCCCTCTTCCACTCCACCATCACCGAGACCAGCAAGGACAGGGCCAGTGACCACACGGCCGGCCGCTTTGGGGACCAGGAGTCCAGTGGCAGCAATGCGGAGGGCGGTGTCCAGGACGTGGGCAGCCGGCCGGCCTGGCCTGGGACGAGCCACCCCCAGCATCTGCGCACCCCTGGCTCCCGGCCACCCCTGTCCCCGGTGCCCAAGCTCTGCCACATCAAGGCCTCCAAGGCCCTGAAGAAGAAGATCTGCCGGTTCCAGCCCACTGCGCTGAAGGTCATGACCCTGGTGTGAACCTGCTGTGCTGAAGGTCATGACCCTGGTGTGAACCTGCTGTGTTGAAGGTCATGACCCTGGTGTGAACCTGCTGCCCTGAGGGTCATGACCCTGGTGTGAACCTGCTGTGCTGAAGGTCATGACCCTGTGTGGGGCCAGGCAACCCGACCTGTGTTCCAGAAGCCGTCCTCCTGAGGATCAGGGTTGTTGGGAGGGTGTGACAGGCTCAGAGGGGCCTCCCAGGGCCGAGGACAAAGTCCAGCGTGTTCGCCTTTTTATATGCGGATGTGGGTTCTCCCATGTTGTTGCCCATTTGTGGTCTGAAGTTCCGCTTGGAAAAGTGGCCGTCACTCCAGGAGTGGAGGGAGGAGCAGGTGCCAGGCTGGGTGGAGGGTCCCCGAGCCCTGGGCGCCTCCCGCCCCATCAGACATCGGAGAACACAAACTGTGGGGTCTCACAAGCCGCCTGCAGACACAGACTCGCCCAGGCGCTCAGGCGTCTGCCGCCACCAGGGTGGCCACCTCGGTCCTGCTCCCGTCCCTGCAAAGCATCTTCCTCCGGGCTCGGCGGCCGGACGCCTGCGGGAAACTGGGTGGGACGGGACCCCCATGTCCGTCTCAGGTGAATAAACCCAGGATTTGCCATTCGTCTCTGAGTCACCGCGAGGCTGAGGTCTCGGCTGTCTGCTGAGGACCTTGGGTTCTGCTGTTTGGGGTTTGCCTGGGCCCAGAAGGCCCTGCGCCTCCTTCGGGCGGGTGGGTGGAGCCCTGCAGGTCCTGTTGGCAGGTGACGCCGGATCCACGAAAAGCCCTGGCTGCTTCGGCCCCTCTGTGCTCCCCGGTAACCTGCTCATCACCGGAGGGGCTGGCAGGTCTCGCCATGACTGGGGGTCCCCGGTCCCCCATCACACCATCCTTCCTGCTGAGAGCCGGCAGGACTGCCCAGCAGGTCTGCGCTCCGCACTGCTTGTCCCCTGGTGCGTGGGCCTCTCCCCTAGACTCAGGCTCGCGGCCTGTGGGGCGTCTCTTCACACCTGCAGCCCCCGCAGCCGCCTCCCCTGTGCCCCGGGCCCCGGCCCCTCTGTTCCCCGATGCCCAAGAGCCCCCAGCACCGTCCTGGGCCGCTCGGTTCTGAGCTCACGTGGGCTCATTCCCCACCTCACCTCCCGTCTGCTGGTGGCTGTGCCCGTTGCTGGTTTTCCCCGCGTTATGATGAGTCCGTGTTATGCCCTGACTCCCGCCCCGGCTGGGAAGGCACAGGCTTCCTCACGTCAGCGGCTGCTCTGCGTGCCGTGACGGGCACACTGGCCCCGCTCCTTCCTCTCCCGATGCGATGCCGCGGCG